TATAAAAACCATTTGCCATTACTTTATTTATCATCCGGTTGTAATTAGATTGCCTTTTTGTTAAATTAATATTTTTTTATTATTAATAACTTAAAGTATATCATAAATATTAACCACAAATAATTTCAGTATTGGACGATGTTTTTTTCGTGCTTGAAGGAGGCGTCAAAAAAACCATTGATTTGTGAGTAGGAGTACTAACATCAGATATTCTGTTTTGAATTTTTATTTGAGCTTTTTCCTAAAATTAATAAAACAATTTTTATAAATTTATATTTTTCCAGTTATTAGTAAATGTTTGTCGTTATCATCAATAAATTACATTGTACAATTAAAATCAACATTGCTATTCCTTAAAATTAAATTTTAAAAAAATCCATTAAAATCAAAATGTAACAATTGAAATATTGAATATCAATGTTCAAAAAAGTTAATTTTACAAATTTTTAAATTTAATTCATTTTATTTCAAGTCAAAGTAGTGCAACACTCTATCAAAAATAATCTCACAAATGTATTTATAAATGCAACGAAATAAGCTATTATAAATATATATATAAATATTGTATTTTAAATAAATAAAAAAGAAAATACTAAAATTTAGTAAATGTACTATTTTAAAAGATGTAATTATTTAATAAAAATAATTACATTTAATATAAGAATAAAACTTAAAATGAACATACCAATAAATTTAAATCCACAGAATGAGTTTGCCTTTGATAAAATTCATTTGAAATATTTGATGATAAATGGTTAATCTTACTTGGGGAGTTGGAAGATTTTTCTTCTTTAATTGTTTGAGCGAATGCACTCATCCATTCTACACACTCTGAAATGTCCGACCACTGCAAACCTAAAAAAAAAACAAATATCAATTAATGTTAATAGAAAAAAATTAATTTTTAGAGAGAGAGAGAAAAAGTTTTCACTTGCAAAAAATAAAACAAAAATTACAAAAATAAATTGTTATTTATAACAAAAATTTAAAAAAAAAAAAAAAAAATAATCAAAATTTATTTTCTAAAAATGTTTAATTAAAAAAATTATTATATACCTGATGCACGAAGAATTTGATCAGTGTATGATGTTAAATAAATTCCGGATGCGGCTAAAACACTGTAAGGAAATCTTAGGGAGCCTTCGTCGAGAATACACAAATCCAATAGTTGAGAGGATTGCAAATATTCTTTTATTGAATGGTTTGGAAATATAAAAGAATAATTTGATAAATTTTCATTTGAATTATTGACATTACAAATTTGAGTGTATAAATTTAACCAAGCATGTGCGGTTATTGATGCTAAATTCCAATCTAAGGTTTTAAGTATAACCAATTCCATATCCAAAATTTGTTCCGCTTTACATGCTTTATCTGTGACAAATGCGAATTCCATTAATTTTGGAGGATAAATTTCTTCAACTTTAGACGCTATAAATAAGCAAGTGACGCCTGGAAAATAAAAAAATAAAATTTTATTAAAAAAAAATTAAAATACGATTAATATTTTACAATTTTAAAACGTTAAAAAATTTTCAAACCGATGAGTTGAAGTTGACTTCTAACAACTCCAGTTTGAATAGATAAATATCGATCTAAATAATCAACGGCTAAATAATAAGTTTCCCTATGAATTTTATACGCTTCACAAACTTCTGTAATCCAGTCTAAAAGAATAGATCTCATTTTAGGCCTAATATCGGGACTTTGATCAAACAATTTAGGATTTCTTTTCATTGCTAATTCTTTATCCTTAGACCGCATTACGTTCCATAATTGTTCCCATTTCGCCCACGTTAACGTAGGAGAATGATCATTTTTTTCTAATTTTTGAAATGATGTAGAATATTCTCCAAGCATTCTTTAAAAAAAAAAAAAAATAATAATATTAATAATTTTTGATTAATTAAAATATAATAATAATAATAATAATAATAATAATAATACAAGGTTGTGGTGTTTTTAACTCCAAATTTCTGTAAACATTACCTGTTAAGAGATTGATCAGTGTATACATCTCTGGGAGTAAGAGGAGAATTAATAGGAGATGTTTGTTGTAACTCTATGTAATCACATTTTGAATTTACTTTGTACATTGCTTTTTTTTCTACATGACCAATTTGATTCGAACAACATTTATTTTCCCGATCTTCAGATTCTACTGTTTGTCTTTTCCGTTTTATGCCGGTTCGGGAATGGCATCCGCTGAAATTATAATTAATTATTTAAGTTTTAGTTTGGAAAAGTTATTATAGCACAATGTGTAAAAAGAATGTAAAAGTGCAGTATTATCAAGTCTAAAACCGAGCAAATGATAATAATATATTTTTGAATGAACATACTGGCTAAAGGACATGAAAAATTAAATTTAACTTAAGTTTAAAAAAAAAAAAAAAAAACAGCTCAAATATTGAAAACTTTAAGCTGTTTTTATTAAAAGTTACATTAAAAATTTTAACTTAAATTTCTCATTTACACAATGTAGAAAAATTAGAATACAATTATAAGATTCTCTCAAGTTAAGAACAAAAAACAAAACCCATTTTACAAATGAAAGTCTTAATAAACATTTGTGTGATTCAAATGATTTTTAAAATTAACTTAAAATCACTTGTTAACAAAACTTAATATTTTTAGGTGCTAAAAGCTTTGAAAAAAAAATAACCTTAATGTTTTTTCCCCAAGTAAAAAATTTATGATAAAGCAAAATAAATATTTTGCAAATTTTAATTCTAGTAAACCTTTTGATTAAAAAAAGAGGGAGGGAGATTTCAGAAAATTCTTAATTGTCTAAAATTATTAAAAAATATATTCACATTGACCCTTAACTATCAATAATTACTTGAAATATTAAATTTAGAGTATATATATATAGATATTTAGTTACTAAAGTCAATTTTTTTTTGTTGAAAAAATTTAATTTAAATATCATTAACATGTGACTCTTATTGGTACAGGAGAAAAAAATATAGAACTAGATAATTAAACTTAATAGAAAGCAATAAATATTTAGAATAAATCTCTCATTAAAATGTTATACATTGTAACAAATTCATAATTGTACTTTCGAAAAACAAACATCTTCAACTTGGGGTAAATAATAAGGAAAAAGTTGTAATATTGAAAAAAACATGTTGCACTAAAAAATAATAAAAACAAAATATATATCATTAATATAAAACAAGGAAAAACTAAGTTTTTCTAATCATTCTTCGGTCTCATTTTTTGTTCATAAAAAGAGTAAGAGATTTTTTTTTCTACAAAAAAATAAAATAAAATAAAAATAAAAAAATAAGTAAATCATTAAAGCAGCATGCTTATTTTTTTTTTTGTTTTTTTCGAAGAAGAACATGAATGATAGTATTGAATGGCATCAATAGAATGACTGTTGACTCAAAATAAGTGCATTTCTTTTACCCGAAAAGTGACAGTAAAGTCAGCTAAAACTTTATGTGTGACCCCAAAAAACTTTCAATCAAAAAAATTTTTTAAACAGATATCTTTGAATAAATTTATTTTTAAATAACTCTACCTTTTCTTACATTCATAAACTTGATTATCCAACATATATATTCAATTGTTAAATTAAGCAATAATTATTTAAAATATTTTCCAAGTAATAAATTTTTTAAAATGAATATTTAGAAAACTTACCTTTGTCGATGCATTTTGTAAATGTAACAGTTCAAAGACAAAAACTTTCTTTAATCTTTTACATAGAACCACAATATCTCTGTTCAAGCTGAAACAAAATATCAGTAAAATATTAGTATTTTCTCTTAAACTCTAATTTTTATTTTTATTTTTCATATTTTTAGAAAATAAAACAATGGCAATTTAGTCAAAAATATGGTAATAACTGAATGCAAAATATAGAGTCACTGACAATTAATACACATTATTTTTCAAATAAAAAAAATAA